CCCCCCCCCCAGTGGTTTAACTCTCATTTGGCATTTAGAAAATATTTCTTAAATCAATAGATTTCCTTTCATGTATTTATTGCCTTGTCTCCAAAGTCACCTGTCATTGATAACAGAAATAATCTTTATATCCCTGTTTCTAACACAGTGCCAGGCAGAGAGTAGTAGCTCAGTTTTTTTAAAAAGCAAACTGTTCAGATGAATAAAAACCAATGAAATGATCCTATCAAAACATCCATTTAAAAAAGCTAAGGAATCACTGGTTACAGAAACAACTAGAGCAACCACACAGAAACTAACTCTTTGCATTCCTGGTTTGTAGGTGACAGATGGTATTTTCAGTGGGATATTTTTAAAAGGAGTTCCTTTCTAGATATCTTCCTAGTGCACAAGGCAGAATTTAAAAAAAATAGTAAATAGAGATCAAGCAATGCCGTTAAGGACCATTCACAGTTGTTACATTGACTGCATCCTGTGGAAAGTATGCTGCCTAATGAACTGAACAGGAAAGAATGGACTATTCACAGTTTTGACATCTCAGATGAAAACCTCTCTACAAAGCACGTAGTGTTTCTCCAGCGACAAGCTGCTGCTGTGAACATTACTGACAGTGGTGGAGACGCACAGTAGTATCTCTTAGTCTCAGGTTCGTCAACTCCAGATCACACCTGCTGCTGTGAGGAAAAGCACATCAGCCCGAAGGAGAGAGGCAGGTGGCAGAGCCACCACACTGGGGCATCCGAAACGTGCACGTTTCAGGCAACGGTGCCTTCCCGAAGAGGAGAGATTTCCCCACCCCTTTGTCCTCTCTGAAATTCAGGGCAATGGGATTTAGCATTGGTGGAGATGTATTGAACAAAGAAGTATTAGAGGAGAGTTAAACCATTCCATCCATCAGGTGTCTGATGGGAGGTTGACAGTGAATAAATTCAGAGTTTCATATATCTAATGAATCAGCAATATTATTGCAATAACAAAATCTCTGCAACAAGGTCAAACGTGATAATTGTAATAATAGCTACTTTTACTGGTTGCCTATTTTGTTTCAGACGTTGTGTTAAATGATTTACATATATTCTCTCAACAATTCTGTAATGTGAAAATATTAATCCTAACTCTGGTTAATGCGTTATCCCTTATAGGAATCTGAACCCAGGTCTTGGCAAAACTCAAAACAGTATATCATATTGCCTCCTTAAATAGCGCATTAAAAATGTTCAAGTTCTCTTTTGTGCTTGTTAGTTCATTTTGTTCATTAGATTCCACATATGAGTGAGATGATATGGAAAATAAAAATAAAAAAAGAGAGAGAAAAAACTCATGGACACGGACATGAGTTTGTGATGTGATGATTGCCAGCAGAGGGGAGTGTGGGGGCGTGGGGTGGAGGAGGGTATAGTGGTGATAAATGGTGCTGGATGGAGACTTGACTTGGGGTGGGGAACATGCAATACAGTGTTGTGGAATTGTGTACCTGAAACCTGTATAATTTTGTTAACCAGTGTCACCTCAATAAGGTCAATAAAAAAAAAATAATTTAAAAAATGTTCAAGTTCATCAAGTTCTACTCCATCAGGAGTTGAAGTCTAAACAAGTTCTTAAAATAAATGTATTAATAATATATTAATAGAATGAAATATCATCAGTAAAAAAAAAAAGCACAGAAACCAAAACCAAAAAATGCTAACTCTCAATTGAAAAATGGCCAAAAGTCTGGATTAAGACATTCACAAGAAAGACATGCAGAGAGCAAATGAGTACATAAAATGTTTTAACTTACTAATTAAATCATAGATATGCCAATGACACATTTTTGTACTTATCAGATGGGAAATGATTAAAAGATGCACATCTCCAGTGTTTTGAAGTTAATAGGCAGTCATGCCTTGAGGCTGGCGGCTCAAGATGCTCCGATACACCTGAAGGCAACTTGAAAACTGTGTTCCGAAGGTCTAAAAATTGTTCCTAAACCATGACCCAGACTTCAGTTCTTCAAATGTGTTCTGAAGAAGCCATTTTTCAGTGTAGGAATATACATAGTGATGCTCAATCCAAATGGTTCACTCTTATTAGAGAAATGTTAATAGTAGTATTGCATGTAATAGAATAGTCTCTTAAAATCTGTTGTTTAAATTTACCAAAGTGGAAGACTTCACAATATAGGAATTGAAAACGATGGCTTCTAAAATAGCATATGATCATTTATCCGCTTGGCAAAAGGAAAACAGAATCCCTTTGTCCTGCTCTGCCCGGCATTCCTCTTCAGTTTCTCCACACTCCTTCCTGGCAGTAATTCTCTAAAATATTAACAATGATTATATCTGTGTGGTAGAGTTTGGGGTGATCCTCACTTTTTTGTTTCTCTATAATGCATTAATTTTATAATCGGGGGATAAGTGAATTCAGGAAATTCATTTAGGCAAATTTAAAAAAAATTTCATAAAGTATGAGCTTGGCAGTGATAACCGCATACACCATATCTCTGTATGTGGCCATCAGGGTCCCAACAGCAGAAAGCAGCGAATGAGAGACAGCCCCTCACTGCCCTCCCTTCACTCTGGCGAGGCCGACACAACCCCTAAAGGCCCCTGCTGACCCGATTCTGCCATAGTGCACAAGACCTCTGTGGTTCATCACCTTCCTTTCCACTTCAGGTGTTTGTTTCCACACCTGCCACCTTCCCTCTGCTCCCTCACAGAGGAGTGGGCTTCTCTCCTCCCCCTCACTGGACTCCTCACTCCTTCCAGGGCTTGGCTTCCTTAATTAGTAACCCTCTCTCTGTCTGCCTCTCTCACACACACACATCTGATTTCTACCTCTGCACTGCCTGCATCGCTCTGCTTTGACTATGCACTTGTCCTTCCATTTTTCTGCAGTATTACCCAGTCGTTCCCGTCCCCCTGCTCTCTCCCTGTCTCCTCCGTTCACTGCGGGGCAGGACAG